TGAAGTGATCCGCGTAAAGCTGCCAGAAACGCTCGCAGAGCTGGACGTGCCCCCCCTGGCACGCCTGGTTAACTGCTGCTGGCCTGCATCCTCACCGCGCTGCCAGGCGCGCAGTGCCTGCCCGCGCGCTGGAGCACGGCCTGCAACATGTCCTCGGACAGGGCGTCGTCGGGAGGCCCTACGCCTCAGCTGGGGGCGGGGGGGCGCTTCAAAGTAAGACCGCTGCGCTTCCGAAGGCCTGAGCTCGCGGCGGGCTTATGGTGATGCTGATGATGGCGATGATGATGATGTTGCTGATGATGATGATGCTGACATGGATGAAGCTGTCGATGGCAATGATCATGCTGACGGCGGCGCCTATGATTGCGCTGGTAAGGGGAAAGAAAATGCGCGCACGCAGATGTCAAGACATCTTGATCGGATCTCGACGTGCGCGCGCGGAAACGTGCGTGTCTGTGGCCCGTATGGTACTAGTTACCACAATTTGTAGGCGCACGACGGTGGATAAATGTTGTCGACATGCGCGCGCGGCCCGGAAACTCAGACTGGACAAAACGACTAAACGCCTGCGGTTTGCGCGCGCAGAAATCTGGCATGTCGTTTCAGGCTCAAGCCATGCTAAACAGACAAGTGTGTGTGTGTGACTAACCATGTATCGGACTCTGTTTGTTACAGCATGTCTCCGCGAGACTTTGACGTGCGCGCGCGGTGGCGCGCGCGTGTGGCCTTTTTCTTCTCTTGATGTTGCACGGGGTTCTTCTTGGACAGCGATCCTTCGACATAATTTGTGTGCACAGACAACCACCGACAGACCAGCATACCGACAACCACGGATCGACAAACAGACCCACCGACTCCCAGAACGACCAAGCGACGACCCCACCGACCACCGACCAGCAGACCGACCAGCAGACCGGAAAAGCAACAGGCCGAACGCCGCGCCGGCCGAGCAACCAGCAGACCAGCATACCGACCACCGACCGCCGACTAGCAGACCGACTACCCCCGACCGACCAGCAGACCCACCGACTCCCACAACGACCCAACGACGACCCCACCGACCACCGACCAGCAGACCGGCCAACAAACCGACCAACAGACCGGCAAACCAACAGGCCGAACGCTGCGCCGGCCGACCAACCAGCAGACCAGCAGACCGACCACCGACCGCCGACTAGCAGACCAGCAGACCGACTACCACCGACCGACCAGCAGACCCACCGACTCCCACAACGACCAAACGACGACCCCACCGACCACCGGCCAGCAGACCGACCAGCAGACCAGCAAACCAACAGGACCAACCAGCAGACCAGCAGACCGACCACCGACCGCCGATTAGCAGACCAGCAGACCGACTACCCCCGACCGACCAGCAGACCCACCGACTCCCACAACGACCGAACGACGACCCAACCGACCACTGGCCAGCACACCGGCCAGCAGACCGACCAGCAGACCAGCAAACCAACAGGCCGAACGCCGCGCTGGCCGACAAACCAGTAGATCAGCAGACTGACCACCGACCGCCGACTAACAGACCAGCAGACCGACTACTACCGACCGACCAGCAGACCAACCGACTCCCACAACGACCAAACGACGACCCCGCCGACCAACCAGCAGACCGACCAGCAAACCGGCAAGGCAGCAAACCGCACGCCAGACCGACCGACCGACCAGCAGAGCAGCAGACCGACCCCCGCCCGCCGGCCAACAGACTGGCAGACCTACGACCGCCCAGCGACCAGCAGACTCACCGACTCCCACCCTTCACACCGAAAGAGCTAAACAAGGCGATCGAAGGTCTTCGGCTTGGTAAAGCCCCAGACACGAAAGGCCTCCGCGCAGAGATGCTCAAAGAAGGCACAGAGGAACTCAGAGGTGCACTTTTCCACCTCTATAACACGATCCTGCAGCGCGAAGCCCCGCCGCCGGCCTGCTGGAAGAGCACAGTCATCACAGTCATACCAAAAAAAGAAGATCTCGCACTTCCACAAAACTACCGGCCCATTTGCACGATACCATTGTTGTACAAGCTCTTCAGCCGACTACTGTACAACAGGCTAGAACCGACGCTTGACTCACTCCAGACTGCCGACCAGGCGGGCTTCAGACCAGGCCACTCGACCACTGACCACCTCTTCACCTTCCATTTATTGCGCGAGCGCGCAAACGAATGGGGCCAAAACCTCTGGGTCTCAGCACTTGACTTCAAAAAAGCTTTCGAATCAGTTGAGCACAAGAGCATATGGGCAGCACTGAAGGCAAAAGGGGTCCAACCTGGATACGTCGCACTACTCCAACAGCTCTATGAGAGACAGAGAGCCACGGTGAGGACAGACGTCAGCAGCAGACCCTTTAGCCTCCTGCGGGGCACGAAGCAGGGAGACCCACTCAGCTCCCTACTCTTCAACGCTCTTCTACAATACATCCTTGGACCGCTGGTTTCCGAATGGCAGCAAAAAAGGAAGGGAGTTGAATTGGGATTCACGAGCACCGCCACGCTGACCAACCTACGCTTCGCCGACGACGTGCTCCTGACCAGCCAAACTCTCCCGCGCCTGACAGCGATGCTTGATGACATTGTGCGCGCGACGAGGCTACACGGGCTCGAACTATACCCAATCAAAACCAAATACTGAGCAACCAGACGAGAAGGACCGGAAGGGCGAGCTCACGCACAGCACGTTTCCCAGACATGGATATAGAAATCGTTCCATACGAACGCAATATCAAATACCTCTGCCAATTCATCAACTTCCACGAACCGATGGAAACGGAAATCCACCACCGCACGCGAGCTTCATGGGCATCACTCACGTATCGCAAGCAGGAGCTGACCAGCAAACACTACCCACTGGCTCACCGACTCCGACTTTTCAACAGCACTGTAGCACCAACACCGTTATACGGAGCAGAGACGTGGACCCTCACGGAGCCTCTACGGCAGCATCTACGACACAACGACGCATGCTTCGCATGATCATCAGAACGCCACGGAGACGCACAACAAAAGGAGCCGGCCCTCACAGCGGCCAAGGACCTAATCTCGACGGCGCGAACAACGAAGCTCAAGACCACGAAGACCGCACCAACAGCACTAGCGACGACGCAGACAGAAACCCATCACAGCGTGATGCACCTGACACGCCTGACAAGCACAGCGAAGATGGCGAAGACAGCACCACCGCAGACGAAATGGAACCATGGGTCGACTACATCCAGCGAGCGACACGACGCGCAGAGCACCTCATGAAACTCCACCACAACGACAATTGGGAGACGCTGCGCAAACGGAAAGTCTGGCGCATGGCTTCACGAGTCGCAAACCACGACTGGACGAGGTGGACATGGCGAGTACTGCGCTGGCACCCAGTCATCAAACCGCGCCAGCGGGGACACAGGCAGCACGGTGGCCAAAACAAGCGCTGGGACGACGAAGCCACAACTTACTTACGTCGATGCAGACCAGACCTCCACCGACCGCCCACGCAAGCCCATTCGAAAGGACAACCGAACGACATCACATGGACGCAAACAGCCCAAGACACCGACACATGGACAGCGCTCGAGCACCACTTCACCGACCTCACGTCGACCAGCACCCGGGACTCAGACCGATGACGTAATCTCGCCCAACCCGCGCCGACACCGACACCAAGGACTTTCTTTTCCTCCTCCTCCCCCTCTCCTCCTAACTTTTTACATGTCTCGCATTGCATGAATCCAGACACCTCAGATCCTAGAGGCCATGGCCTCACCCACCGTGTCTGCTCTAGGCCCGGACGCTGTCCGCAACGGTGGTCGCATCGCATCGCATCGCATGTGTGCACGCGTATTACTTGTTGGTAAGGATGTGGGGTGGGGGGCGGGGGTCAATGCTGACTGGGCTGGGGTGGTCTGATTGCGCATGGGAAGCGAGCGCTGCGGCAGAATCGTATGTACTTTGCAAGCGCCCCTGGGGGGGCCAGTGATCCCGGGCGCAAGAGGGTGGCAGAGTCTCTCTTGTGAACAACAAGCTCTGCGAGGAGCGTCTGCGTGGTGCAAGCCGCGTTGCGCAACATAACAGGTGCAAGCTATTTGGTGCAAACTACGTGGTGCAATGCATCATTCGAAATTGCAATCGCATTCGCGCAAACATCCCACCGTCCAACCTGCATACTGTTTCGCAGACGCCCATTCGGCTACGATTGCGTTTGCCGGTCGGAACTTGCTGGCGCATCTTTGCAGCCGCACTGGCGCGCGCATGCTCCAGCGAAGATCGGCTAGCTGGCTTGGAACAAGTGATGCGGCCGCGATGGCGCTTGAAGGCGGGCACTTCCCAGCGCGTCTCAATGGTCGCGCTGGCGCACGGGCACTTCAATGCGTGGCGGTGACTCGGACGTGCGAAATATCACGATGGCGTCGACACTGGCGAAGACGTCGACGATGACGGAGGCTGGGCGCCTGGGTGCACAACAGCGCCATATCAGACCGTCGGGATATCAAAATCCAGTCGAAGCGGGCCGGACGAAACACGACATCCAATCGGGTCAATCGGACCGTGAGTTACCTTGCGTCCACATCCCCGGCCTCGCGATCCGGCCTCCTCTGCCGCGAGCCCATGGATACAGGGCAGACTTTGTACGGATGTCCCGCGCGGACCGTATCCATAGGATCGAGGAGGAGGAGGAGCATTTCCTGAGAGGCCGCGCTGGACTTCGTCCAGCATGTATCAAGCCTGTCTTGGAACCATATTCGGCTCGCCGGGCGAGGACTAGAAAGAGTGAATGGTGAACGCGAAACGACACGGCTGTGCCATCGCTCCTGAGAAGCACTGTATGACCTTCTCCAGCGGCAACTTGCGTGCAGGTCAGTTCCGCGACCAACGCCAACAACTCGTACTGACAATCCTCAATTGGCGCATTACACCGCAATGCACGTCTTTAAGTACCGTGCGCCTGGGCTGTGGGCACAAAACTGAAAACAGACTCGGGACCAACTGGCACGGCACACTCTCACACCACGACGTTCGTCGTGTTCTTCCACGCCTCTGGGTCGATCCGCTTCATCATGGCCTTGATCTGCTTCATGGGTCCGCACTCGTAGAACTCCGTGACCCCCTCCTTCTGCATCTCTCTCACCGACTGCTCCCAGTAGACTGGGTTCGTCAGCTGCCTCTTCATCAGCGCGGTGATGGTCGGGCGTTGCTAGAAGTGGCCCTGGCCCGAGGTGACTCCAGCTTTCCCAGGGAGGCGCAGCTGGCTTCCAGCGCACCTCGCCAGGAGGCCTTCTGGAGGGCCCCAGGAGGGCGCGAAAAGCTGGGAGCACCGTGGGCCAGGACCACTTTTGGGCAACTCCCGAGATGACGCTCACGTCGCAGCCTGGCCGGCACGGCTCCGCCGACGCGTTCATCCACACCGTGTGCGCCGGCGGCCTCATCCGCGGCTGCATCTCGCCGATGGCCGCGGACAACTTGTCCTGGGCGGGCTGCATCAGCGCCGTGTGGAAAGCGCCGCCCGTCTTCAGCACCTTCACCTGCAACGCGCCGGCCTTCGTGGCTAGCCCCTCAAGCTCCCTGACGGCCGCCTCGGTGCCGCCGACGCAATAGCCCTTCGGGAAGAGGTCCGCCACCGTGCCCTGAGGCGCGAGTTCGAGAGTCCTCAGGTCCCATCAGTCCTCCGTCCTTCAAGAAGCCTCTGACCTACAGCCAAGGCACGGTGGCGGGATGGGCCGAAGGCCGCTAGATCCGCCGCCCCCTGCTTGCAGGGGTGCACGGCGTGCTGGATGTTTCAGGTTTTGGTTTTGGTTCTTTTTCCAAAAGAACTCCCCAGTGGGCTCCGGCCCGTCCCGCCACCGTGCCCAAAAACGGCCGTTTCGCTCGGGACATCCTCAAAAAATCGCGAAGATGGCCCAAGATGGCCTCCAAGTCCGCCCGAGATGGTCCAAGACGGCCTCCAAACGGCCCAAGAGAGTCCAAGACGGCCCAAGACGGCCCAAGAGGCCCCCCAGAGGCCTCCCAGACGGCCCAAGAGGCCTCCAAGAGGTCCTCCAGGAGAGTCCGAAGAGGCCAAAATCATTGATTTTCCATTGGTTTTTGAAGGATTTTGGCATTTGCGCCTTTTCGGCTCTCCGACGGCTCAAGACGGCCCAAGAAGCCCCCAAGATCGCCCAAGAGGCCCCCAAGAGAGCCCCATGATGGCCCAAGTGGCCTCCAAGATGGCCCCTAGAGGGCCCCAAGAGGGCCCAAGAGGCCTCCAACACGCCCAAGATGGCCTCCAAGACGCCCAAGATGGCCTCCAAGACGGCCCTGGAGCGCCCCAAGAGGGTCCCCCGTTGGCCCAGAACGGCCCCCAAAACGGCTCCCGACGGCGTCAGACGTGCCAGGAACCCACCAAGATGGCCGAAGTTCGCTCGAAGCTGGCCCAAAAGGGCCCAAGAGGCCCCCAAGAGGGCCTCCAGGAAGGCCAAAAGATGCCAAAATCACTGATTTTCCCAAGGTTTTTGATGGATTTGGGCATTTCCCTTTTTTCGGCCTTCCGACGGCCCGAGACGGCCCAAGAGCCCCCAAAGATCGCCGAAAGATCGCCCAAGAGGCCTCCAAGACGGCGACGATGACCATCAAGACGCTCACGTGTTCCCCGAAGGCTTTCCAAACCGATTCGGGGAACACATGGTCCGATGGCTTGGCAGGTCTGGCCTCAACGTTCGGCCACATAGGCGCTTCCACAAAGGCAGGGGGCGGCGGTGATTCGCCGTAGGCGTCTTCGATCCGCCGCCCCCTGCTTGCAGGGGTGCACGGCGTGCTGGATGTTCAGGTTTTGGTTTTGGTTCTTTTTCTAAAAGAACTCCCCAGTGGGCTTCGGCCCGTCCCGCCGGCCACCCGCAAATTGCCGAAAACCCATCTCTCAATGCCCAAAAACGGCCGTTTCGCTCGGGACATCCTCAAAAAATCGCGAAGATGGCCCAAGATGGCCTCCAAGTCCGCCCGAGATGGTCCAAGACGGCCTCCAAAACGGCCCAAGAGAGTCCAAGACGGCCCAAGACGGCCCAAGAGGCCCCCCATAGGCCTCCCAGACGGCCCAAGAGGCCTAGAAGAGGTCCTCCAGGAGAGTCCGAAGAGGCCAAAATCATTGATTTTCACTTGGTTTTTGAAGGATTTTGGCATTTGCGCCTTTTCGGCTCTCCGACGGCTCAAGACGGCCCAAGAAGCCGCCAAGATCGCCCAAGAGGCCCCCAGGAGAGCCCATGATGGCCCAAGTGGCCTCCAAGATGGCCCCTAGAGGGCCCCAAGAGGGCCCAAGAGGCCTCCAACACGCCCAAGATGGCCTCCCAGACGCCCAAGATGGCCTTCAAGACGGCCCTGGAGCATTCCAAGCGGGCCCCAAGTCGGCCCATAGAGGCCCCCCAAACGGCTTCCGACGGCTTCAGACGTGCCAGGAACCCACCAAGATGGCCGAAGTTGGCTCGAAGCTGGCCCGAGACGGCCCAAAAAGCCCCAAAGATCGCCCAAAGCTTGCCCAAGAGGCCTCCAAGACGGCCAAGATGACCTTCAAGATGCCCACGTGTTCCCCGAAGGCTTTCCAAACCGATTCGGGGAACACGTGGTCCGATAGCTTGGCAGGTCTGGCCTCAACGTTCGGCCACATAGGCGCTTCCAAAAAGGCAGGGGGCGGCGGTGATTCGCCGTAGGCGTCTTCGATCCGCCGCCCCCTGTGGTCTTGCCACAGGGGTGCACGGCGTGCTGGATGTTTCAGGTTTTGGTTTTGGTTCTTTTTCTAAAAGAACTCCCCAGTGGGCTTCGGCCCGTCCCGCCGGCCACCCGCAAGTTTCCGAAAATCCATCTGTCAATGCCTTTGTTGCCCCAACTTGGCCCAAGATGGCCTCCAAGACGGCCAAGATGGCCCAAGATGGCCTCCAAGATGCTTCCAAGACGGCCAAGATGGCCTCCAAGACGGGTAAGATGGCTCCAAGATGCACCCAAGACGGCCCAAGATGGCCTCAAGATGGTCTAAGACGGCCCAAAAGGCCCGCAAAAGGCCTCCAAGACGGCCCAAGAGCCCTCCAAGACGCCCTCCAGGAAGGCCCGAATAGGTTAAAATCATTGATTTTCCTTAGGTTTTTCAAGGATTTTGGCATGTTCTTCTTTTCAGCTCTCCGACGGCCCAAGACGGCCCAAGAGGTCCCCAACATCGCCCCAACAGCACCCAAGAGGCCTCCAAGATGGCCCCATGACGGCCCAAGAGGCCCCCAAGAAGGCCCCAAGAGGGCCTCAAGACGGCCCAAGAGGCCTCCAAGACGCCCAAGATGGCCTCCAAGACGGCCAAGATGGCCCAAGATGGCCTCCAAGATGCCCAAGATGGCTTCCAAGAACACCTGATATGCCCCAAGAGGGCCCCAAGACGACCCAGACAGGCCCCCAAGACGGCTTCCGACGGCGTCAGACAAGCCAGGAACACCCTAAGGCGGCCAAATAGGCCCCCAAGAAGCCCCGAAGGCCACCAAAAAGCCTCCAAGAGGCCCCCAGGAAGCTCCCAGGAGGCCCCAGGAGTGCCCCAAGAGGCGCCCAACAGGCCTCCTCCTCCTCCTCCTCCTCCTCCTCCTCCTCCTCCTCCTCCTCCTCCTCCTCCTCCCACTCCTCCCTCCTCCTCCTCCTCCTCCTCCTCCTCCTCCTCCTCCTCCTCCTCCTCCTCCTCCTCCTCCTCCTCCTCCTCCTCCTCCTCCTCCTCCTCCTCCTCCTCCTCCTCCTCCTCCTCCTCCTCCTCCTCCTCCTCCTCCTCTCCTCCTCCTCCTCCTCCTCCTCCTCCTCCTCCTCTCCTCCTCCTCCTCCTCCTCCTCCTCCTCCTCCTCCTCCTCCTCCTCCTCCTCCTCCTCCTCCTCCTCCTCCTCCTCCTCCTCCTCCTCCTCCTCCTCCTCCTCCTCCTCCTCCTCCTCCTCCTCCTCCTCCTCCTCCTCCTCCTCCTCCTCCTCCTCCTCCTCCTCCTCCTCCTCCTCGCCTCCTCCTCCTCCTCCTCCTCCTCCTCCTCCTCCTCCTCCTCCTCCTCCTCCTCCTCCTCCTCTCCTCCTCCTCCTCCTCTCCTCCTCCTCCTCCTCCTCCTCCTCCTCCTCCTCCTCCTCCTCATTTTGTCCTCATCCTCACCCTCCTCCTCTTTTTGCTCCCCCATGCGTTCCCCGAAATCTTTCAAAATCGACTCGGGGAACAACTGGCCCGATAGCTTGGCCAAGCTCTGGCCCAGCAGTCGGCCACAGAGGTGCGTCCAAAGGGGCAGGGGGCGGCGGTGATTCGCCGTAGGCGTCTTCGATCCGCCGCCCCCTTTTGCTTTAGCAAAAGGGGTGCCTAGCGTGCCGAACCTCTCGGTTTTGGTTTTGGTTCTTTTTCCAAAAGAACTCCCCCTGGGGCTCCGGCACGTCCCGCCGGCCACCCGGAAACTGCGTCAGTCAATGCCTGAAACGGCCGTTTCGCTCGGGACATCCTCAACAAATCGTGAAGATGGCCCAAGATGGCCTCCAAGTCCGCCCAAGATGGTCCAAGACGGCCCAAGAGAGTCCAAGACGGCCCAAGAAGGCCCAAGACGCCCCCCAGAGGCCTCCCAGACGGCCCAAGAGGCCTCCAAGAGGTCCTCCAGGAGGGCCCGAAGAGGCCAAAATCATAGATTTTCCTTAGGTTTTTGAAGGATTGTGGAATTTGCTTCTTCTCGGCATTCCGACAGCTCAAGACGGCCCAAAAGGCCCCCAAGATCGCCCAAGAGGCCCCCAAGAGGGCCCCATGACGGCCCAAAGGGCCTCCAAGATGGCCCCAAGAGGGCCCCAAGAGGGCCCCAAGAGGCCTCTAACACGCCCAAGATGGCCTCCAAGACGGCCCCGAAGCGCCCCAAGAGGGTCCCTCGTTGGCCCAGGAAGGCCCCCAAGACGGCTCCCGACGGCGTCAGACGTGCCAGGAACCCACCAAGATGGCCGAAGTTGGCTCGAAGCTGGCCCAAGACGGCCCAAGAGGCCCCCAAGAGGGCCTCCAGGAAGGCCAGCCAAGGCCAAAAACCTGGATTTTCCTAAGGTTTTCGACGGGTTTTGACGTTTCCTTCTTTCCGGCCTTCCGACGGCCCCAAATCGCCGAAAGATCGCCCAAGAGGCCTCCAAGACGGCCAAAATGACCTTCAAGATGCCCACGTGTTCCCCGAAGGCTTTCCAAACCAATTCGGGGAACACATGGTCCGATGGCTTGGCAGGTCTGGCCTCAACGTTCGGCCACATCGGCGCTTCCAAAAAGGCAGGGGGCGGCTGTGATTCGCCGTAGGCGTCTTCGATCCGCCGCCCCCTTTTGCTTTAGCAAAGGGGTGCCTAGCGTGCCGAACCTCTCGGTTTTGGTTTTGGTTCTTTTTCCAAAAGAACTCCCCCTGGTGCTCCGGCACGTCCCGCTGGCCACCCGGAAACTGCATCAGTCAATGCCTGAAACGGCCGTTTCGCTCGGGACATCCTCAACAAATCGCGAAGATGGCCCAAGATGGCCTCCAAGTCCGCCCAAGATGGTCCAAGACGGCCTCCAAGACGGCCCAAGAAAGTCCAAGACGGCCCAAGAAGGCCCAAGAGGCCCCCGAGAGGCTTCCCAGACGGCCCAAGAGGCCTCCAAGAGTCCAAGAGGTCCTCCAGGAGGGCCCGAAGAGGCCAAAATCATATATATATATATATATATATATATTTATGTATATATATATAAGTGTTTGAAGGATTGTGGTCCAAGAGGCTCCCAGGAAGCTCCCAGGAGGCCCCAAGCATGACCCACGAGGCTCCCAAGAGGTCTCCTCCTCTTGCTCCTCATCCTACTGTTTCCTCCCTTTCCTCATCCTCCTCTTCCTTCCCAACGCCTTCCCCGAGAAGCAACCGCCCCCTGTGGCTTGTCACGAGTGCACGGTGTGCTGGATGTCTGGACATTCTGGGTTCTTTTTAAAATGTCCCAAGGGCCTTCGGCCTAGCGCGGGCCACCCAGAGCGCTCAGCCAGGCAGGGTTGTTTCTGCTCCAGATGGCTCAAGACGGCCTCCAAGACGGCCAAGATGGCCGCCCAGACTGCCCTATGGCCCCAAGAGAGCCCAAGATCGCGCCAAGATGTCGTCAAGACGGCCCAGGATGCCCGCAACAAGAGGCCTCCAAGACGGCACAAGGGGCCTCCGAGCGGATCCCCGGGACGGCCCAGACCGTTGATATTTCTTTTGAAAAGATTCTAGCGTTTGTTAATTGTCTGTTTCCAAGGTTGCCTCAAGATCGCACCCAAGACGATCCCAAGAGGGTCCCAAGACGCACCAGGGGACCTCCGAGACGCCCAAGATGACCTCCAAGTCGGCTCCAAGACAACTTTCGACGGCGTCAGATGGGCCAGGAACGCCCTCAGGCGGCCACAGAGCCTCCCACGGTGCTTCCAACGGCTCACAGGAGGCCAAAGGAAGTCTCTGGGAGGCCTTCAGGAGGCCTCCAGGTAGCTCTCAGGAGGCCCACAGAGCGCCGAAAGGCGCCCAAGAGGCCTCCTCCTCCTCCTCCTCCTCCTTTTCTTCCTCCTCCTCCTCCTCCTCCTCCTCCTCCTCCTCCTCCTCCTCCTTGTCCTCCTCCTCCTCCTTCTCCTCCTTCCCTTTCCGCCCTCTTATCGCCTCCTCCTCCTCCTTTTCCCCGCGTGTTTCCCGAAGGGCTTCCACAACGGGTCGGGGGAGCACACAATCAGCCACACAGGCGCTTCCGAGCAAGGCGGGGTGTGGGGGGGGTGGCGGCGGTAACTCGCCGCGGGCGGTCTCGATAGTTGGAAATCGCGCAAACTGCGCCGCTGCCCTCCGCGGCCGTCGCCTCGTCGCACAGCGCCCGGACCCTCCCCTCCTCCAGGCCTGCCACGGACAGCATCAACTGCCGCCTGCCCGCTGCCGCCGCCTCGTGCATGGCCTCGCCCCGCACCTTCACGAGCCGCAGGCCGTCCTCGAAGCTCATGACGCCCGCGGCGCAGAGGGCCGTGTACTCGCCCAAGGACAGGCCGGCCATGACCGAGCAGCGGTCCACGGCCTCGGCCCTCTCGGCCCGGAGCTTCTCCACGCCAGCGAGGCCGCCGATGAACATCGCCGGCTGGCAGTACCTGGTCTCCTCCAGCTTCTCCTCGGGTCCGTTGAGGCAGAGCTCGAGGACGTCCCAACCCAGTATCTCCTTAGACTTCTGCAACATGTCCTTCACCTTCGGCATGTCCTTCACCTTTACGCCGGAGTAGCGGGTCTGGCGCAGATGGGGTCCGCGGGGAGAGGTGCAGTAGCACTTGCAATATTTGACGCCTGGATGCAATTGGTCGCGCGCTGGATGCAATAGTTGCGCGTGGATGCAACTGTGCATCTCTTTTTTTACACCACACAATAATTGTCGCCCGTGTAATAGTTCTCGCGCCCAGCCACAATCACGCACTATGGCACGCAATGCTACACAAGTCATCCCACCATCCCTGTGGGCGCAGGTGGTCTAACGATGTCTTTCATTTCCTCTCACAAAAACTCTTCTTCCCCTTCGGGGAGGGGTTTGTCACTGTTCCCTATTGATAATCATCCCCTCCCCCAGGCGACTGGTAGCCAACCAAGAACCATGAGGGCACCCCCCCACCATCCCTTGTAAACAAACCATGCAAAACACACTCTGCCTCCAAATTCGGAGCACGCGCAGCCAACCCAATGCGGCCTCCCCCCACCATCCCTGCCAAAACACAATACAGAGTACACTTGGCGGCGGCGGCGGCTGCGGCGGCGGCGGCTGCGGCTGCGGCTGCGGCGGTGGCGTCGGCGGCGGTGGCGGCAACGGCTGCGGCGGCAGCGGCTGCGGCGGCGGCGATTCGGCAGCGGGGGCGGCGACGAGGGCGGCGGCGGCGGCGCGGCGGCGGCGGCGGCTGCGGCGACGGCGGAGCAGGCGGAGGCGGCGGCGGCGGATTGGCCACCAGTAGCTGCCCATCCAAAGACGACTGTTGAAAATGCTCAGGCTCGGGCCAGACTCGGATGCTACGTATGTGTTGGGAGGGCGGGTGGGAGTGAGCGAGACGGCTTGCGGGTAGTGAGGGAATCTCGACCCATCCCCCTACCCCCTCCCCTGGACTGGGCGGGAGGGGCCGCGATCCGCTGGAGCGTCCAAGATCGGCCCCTGGGAGGGCCAATGTTTGACACACCTCACGAGGATTGTGGCCCCCGATGGGGGGGCGCCGATCGGGGACCCTCCCTCCTTTGAGAGCCCCAAAAGATCCCCAAGAGGGTCCCAAGGGGGTCCCAAGAGGGTCCCAAGAGTGCCCCAAGAGGCACCCGAGAGGCCCCCAAGAGCCCCCGAGTGGTCTCAGAGAGCCCAAGATGACCTCCAAGATGGCTCAGATAGCCCAAGCTGACTCAAGATGGCTCCCAAGATGCTCCAAACGGCCCCAAGACCGCTCCAAGAGTGCCCAAGAACGCTCCAAGAGACCCCCAAGGAGCGGTTTGCTGGCTCCTGAGGGGGCAGTTGAGTTGGGGACCCCCCCCATACTGTAATCGATGGCCTCCAAGATGCTTCCAAGAAGCCTTCAAGGGTTACCAAAAGGGTTCCAAGAGGGCCCCAAAAACTCTCAGAGAGCAACAGCAACAGCAGCAGCCGCAATAATACCTCTAGATGGTTCCATGACTCCTCATCCGCGATGTCTTCACCCTAGTTTGTCCTCGACCTCCTCGTCCTCGTCCTCATCCGCGTCCTCGGCATCCTCGTTCTCCTCGTCCTCACCCTCCTTCTCCGTTTCCTCCTCCTCTTCCCCTCGCCCCCACGCGGCGCCCAGGGATGGCCCGAAGAGACCTTCCAAGGCCACCCCCTTGCTCGCTTTGTCTCCCTAGATGTGTCTCTTCGTCCCTTCTCCCGTCAGCTCTGAAGGGCAGGGTTTCTGCATGGGCTGGTGGGGACACGCGAAGCGTGAAAAATTGACGACCACACCTCTCGCCGACGACCCATCTGCGCCAGACCCACCGGTCCAGCTCAGATCACCTCCGCCAACATCTTGACGTACTGGGAGCCCTGGCCCGGGAACAGGATCCCGATGGGCAGCGTGCCCCCCTCGCCCAGCTGCGGGCTCGGCAGGGCCGCGGGCACCTTGCTAGTCCTCACCGCGAGCTCCTTCTGGGGCAGCACAGGGGTTATCCAGCCCTCCGGCGGGCCAGTTCCCTCGGCGAGCTTATATCTCAGGCGCTCGCCCCTGAGCTCGAGCTCCTGTATCAGCGACCCCGTCGACAGGCGGGTAGAGAGCTGCGGCGACGCCAGGCCCTCGCCCTCCCTCACCAGGATGCCGCCCTTGCCGACGCCGCCGACGACCTCCCACATCGGCGACGCCATGAGCGGCGATGGCGCCAGTCGGCGCGCCTGTCACGTCTAGAAACAAGACGCACAACGGCTTGATCCAGGGAAATCGCACACACAGGCACACATCGCCACACACAGCCACCCTACATACACAACCACACACAACCATACCAGCAATAGTAGGAGGGAGGGGGGCGAACGACGAGGAGGAGCAGCATCAGGATGAGGACGAAGAGAGGGCACACATCCTCCGCCTTCCCACCTTTTCCCATGCTGGCTCACTGTCTCTGGAAACATCCGAAAATACGGCAATGACCGCACAGAGACGGAACGCTCAACAACTCGGTCCTCATCCATCCTCCTCCTCCTCCTCCTCCTCCTCCTCCTCCTCCTCCTCCTCCTCCACCTCCACCTCCTCTTCCAGGTGCGGTGGAGCTGCGTCGGCATCGGCAGCGGCCCTGGCGGAGCCAGGGGGTCAGCTGCTGGCCGACCGAGAAGTCGTGGATCAGACTGTTCCCCCGAAGCGATGAGTTCATACAAAACGAAGCCACCTCATCCTCCTCTTCCTCCCCCTCCTCGTCCTCCTGCTCCTCCTCGTCGTCATCATCATCATCATCATCAGCAGCATCAGCATCAGCATTAGCATCATCATCAGCATCATCATCAGCATCTGCATCGTCAACATCATCATCAGCATCATTATAATCATAAGAAGCATCATAAGATTCCTCATCATAATCCTAATCTGCATCAACATCAGCATCAGCATCAGCATCAGCATCATCATCATCATCATCATCATCATCCTCATCCTCATCATCATCATCATCATCATCATCATCATCATCATCATCATCAGCAACGTCATCATCATCATCATCATCATCATCATCATCAGCATCATCATCATCATCATCATCTCCATCCTCCTGCTCCTCCACCTCCTCCTCCTCATCAGCATCATCATCATCATCATCATCATCATCAGCAACACCATAATCACCATCATCACCATCGTCATCAGCATCATGATCATCATCAGCATCATCATCATCACCATCACCATCACCATCATCAGCATCAGCATCATCATCATCATCATCATCATCATCATCATCATCCTCATCATACTTATCCTCATGATCCTTCTCCTCGTCCTCGTCCTCCTTCTCGTGTTTCTCCCTACACAAGGCCGAGGAGGCGTCGCGCATCGACCTACTCCAACAGCGATTGGCGCATCGAGAGAGAGAGAGAGAGGCATGCGGGAATCCACCGCCGCGACCGTGGAGGGCTACTGGCGCGCAATCACGCGCGTCCGTGCTGACACGGCCCCAAGGGCAAAAAACCCAAGAGAGGCCCAAGAGGCCTCCAAGGCGGGCCCAAACCCACAAGCGCCCAAGAGCGCCGCAAGGGCGCCCCAAGAGTCCCAAGAGGGTCCCAAGAGGCGATCTCGATGATTCCAAAGGGGCATTTTAAATCGAGGACCCCACTGTGCCTGGCACGACGTGTGGGCCCGCTCGGATGCCAAGTGCTGTGCGAGATAGTTTCTGTACGTATTATGATGACCCCCTCCCTCCTAGTAGGGCCTCGCTGTGAAGCAAACACCTGGACACCATCGGGGGTCCAAAAACGGGGCGGTGACAGACCGTGCGTGACCTCGCAATCCTTGAAGATCTCAACGCACAATCTGTCACCACACGGTTGTTGGGACCTTGAAGGCCCCAGCCACGCGAGGCGTCATCGGAGAACGACCCAGGTTCACCAAACCGTGCGGTCACCCCAAATTCCCACTGACTCACCATGGTCCTCATCGTGTGGCTTTCGGGCCGTACTTCGGCTTGCCGGCAGCCGTTGAGGACGAGTCTAGCAATCCCGGAACACCCTCGGCGAAGCGCAGCTGATGAAATCCACCCCGGGTTTCGGAAACTTTCGGCAACTCCTGAAATCGTTCGAAACAAAAATCTTGGCCTATCCGCGCCCACACGGTGTGGCCACTGCGCCGCCTGTGGTAGGGAGCAACAAATCCACCCAATAAGCACCCCGACAGCGAAGCATTTGATCGAACAGGGCAGGGCTGCTAAACGTACCATACCCAGGCCCTCCTCGTGGGATACGTGGGTCGAGCCCCGTGCTCGAAGCAGATCTGGGTGAACGCCGTGCTGTTGGGTATCATTCTCACCATGTTGTGCAGAGTTCTCCGTGCTGTGTGGTTTCGGCAGAGCTCAGGTACCGACGCATTCGATGGGGATATCGATGGGTCAACAATTTTGAAGCTTTCGCCAACATTCTCTGTGGACGCCTGGGAGGATCCGCTGGTGGGAGGTGGTGATAAAAAGGGGGACTGCAGGGCTCGAAGGTGAAGGGGCGCCGCCGAGACCTGTCCAGTGAAATACAGAAGATGCAGGAGGCTATCCAGGCATTCGCTGGGAGAGTGGGTGGGAGCTTCCAGACCAAGCGCCAGAAGAAGTCAAAGGCCGCCGTTCAGGAGACTAGACTGTTGGCGGACATTCGTGAGTACTCAAGAAGGTCGACGTGTCGGGCTACAGACCGACGGAAGGGCAGGTACGTGAGCGACTCCAGCAGCTGCTCCACCGCTCCTCCAGCACCACGCAGCAGCAGCAGCAGCAGCACCCACAGCAGCAACAGCAGCAGCAACAGCAGCACCAGCAGAAGGACATCAAAGTCGTCAAGAGCCAGTGGGGGCAGGACTGCCCCGTCTTGTCGGCCAAGCGTTTGCAGGACTGTAACTATGAGAAGCCTCCGCTCATTGTGTGTCAGAATGAGAAGGAGTATCATTAGACGAGGAGGTGGTTGGATGCTCTCGGAGGTGCTGAGAGGTCAGCTACCATCATCATATTCAACATGCAACGTGTCCTGGAAGGCTCTTCCTTCGTGGACATGTTGGTGGAGACGGGCCAAGCCAAAGGTACCGCGACCCAGAGGTGCCTCCTGATCGAGCTGGGCCCGTCTCCACCGCGACGTGTGGGACTACCAGAAGGCATCGTCGACGACACACCCGTCCAGACGGTGACCGCCCTCGAGACTGTGCAGGTGAGACTCACGGTGGCGAGGGACTACGCAGCGGATGACCTCTTCACGCGAGCGGCCCAGCGCCCAGTGGCGCTGGCGGCCCTCATCTTCAATGACGAGCTTCAGAAGATGGTGCTGAAAGTCAGAGGGGCGCTCAATTATGAGAGTGAGTTGACCTGTCTCCTCATCTTGAAGAAGTCGTCCCTCGAGAAGTTCATGAAGCTTCCTCTGCCGAGGGGTGTGTTCATGAATATCCAGGGCTCAAAGAAGGTACCCAGGTGGTTCAAGCAGAGGGAGGACGAGACCCACGAAGCCTACCTGGCGAGAGTGATGGTCAACTCTTCTTCAGTTTCAGGGCGGATGCGCTACCGCCCGTCGGAAGAAGCGAGCTTGGGGGTGTTGACGGACCAGGCGTTGGCCACGGACATCATTCCAAGATGGTGTGCCCTGAGTACTCCAGACAGCTGGGTTGGTCCAGAGGATTTGGAATCGTGGGCAGTGCAGCGTGGTTTCACTAACATCAGTAAAATACATCGTGCAGGCCGTCGTCGTTGGTTCTTCAGAGCTGATCTAGCGGCAGGACGTTCAGACGCCGATTGAGTGTATACGTTTGCCAGTGGCATCTCTGTCGCATTGGCCTACAACAACGCGGGAGACAGGAAGAAGACTCCAGTCTCCAAGCCTACTTCTTCCTGGGGGACTGTGCAGCCACGCGCAGGACTCCCGACTACGACGCCAGATGAGGAGATGGAGCCGACACAGCCTGCGACCGCCGCCGTGGCACCCGCAGATGGAGCTCCGCCCCCTCATGAAGTTCCTGTGGAGGGCCGCCAGCTGGGACCGTCGGAAGGCGAACCCCCCCAGCAGCGTGCCCGTCGCACAGCGAAGCCACCCTGGACGGACTGTTTCAAAGATGTGGAGTGTGGAGGCAGTGGAGATTGCTTCTTCCTATGTATCGGCCGAGCTATTCGTGATGCCTCGGCCGACCCCAAGCCCCTGGCCGCAGGGGGTGACCAACCAGGTGGGAAGGTCCAAGCCAAGCTACGCCTCCTCGTCTCAGCCGAGATGAAGAAGCATCATAAGAAGTACGGAGTCACCGCGAAGCAGGCCGAGCAGATGGCGAAGGCGGGCTGCTTGGCGAACACGGCGGCCCTGAAGGCCACAGTTGCGGCGGCTAAGGTCGACATCAACGTGTGGAAATTCAATGCGATGGACGACCGCTGGATACTCTACACGGGTCCGACAACACGTTCGACTTCGAGCAAGCTCCCTCTGGTGTGGTTGGTGTTACAAGATAAGCACTACAAATTACTGCAGGTCACGTCGCCGCTGCCGGCGGCGGTGGATACTGTATGGTGGGAGCAGGCTCTTCCATACCCCGACATCTTCACAAGTGGTGGTGGTCTACTGCGGGGAGGAGGGAAGTCTGTTGCCAGTACCGCTAGTACCTCAGAGCTTGCGGATGCCAGGTCATTTCTTGGAATCCCAGAGTCGTCCACAGGTTCGAAGAGAGGCGCCACTTCGACTCAGAAGGCTCGCAGCTTCCTGGGTATATCTGAAGCGGGAGAGCCTCCACCAGTGCTCGACGAGGAACCTGATCTCGAGGGTCCTGGCGCACACCTACGTTGTCCAACGCCTGGGTGTGGATGGAAGCCGACAGCGGACAATCATCCACGCCGACACCAGGAAGCCCGTGTTCATTGGCGCTACTGTGTTGGTGAGCCGCCGCCTGCTCGAGCCCCACCTGGCTCGTATGGTGGCGCCAACAAGGTGACGCAGGGAGCCGCAGCCAGGGCAGCTCGACGCATCGCCTGGCAGAAGAACAAGTCGTGGCAGGATCAGCTGCCAACCAAATTCCAAGTTCAATTATGTCGGACGTCCGAGGAGGCGGGGGCTACCGCGTGGCGCTCCAACCAGTTCGTGACACTCTACACGTGCTCCCGTTGTGGTGCTCAGAAGCCGATCTTCCGCCTCCGCGCGGATCCCTGCGAGTTGCGGCCGCAGGGGTTGACGACCAGGATCCAGCTACTTGACAAGCTGCTTGGTCCAACGGAGAGGAAGAGGCGGAAAGCTATCCAGGATCGCATTGCCAAGCGGTCCCGAGACAAACATAAAGAGAATAACATATTGCGACACATCGAACTGATGAAGGATCC